CCCCAAAACCCCAAAACCCCAAAACCCCTATTTTCTAATTTATAATTGGATAAAAATAAATCAAAATTAAAAATTATTCTCTTTTCTCTTTCTCGTTTTTAAACTTTTGAGCCTTAACTTTACTCTCCTTTTTCATGGTCCTAGCTGATCTTCTGCAAGAAGCAAGCTTATATGCTATCAATGATTTGATATTATCAATAGGCTTTTGTACGGATATGTACAATAAGAAGGCAAATATGTAACTTAGGATAGTATTAGCGGTCATAAATACTATTGCTTTTAAATAATCATGATACACATCGCCATGAGTTGCAAAGTACCCAGCCCCAATCACCAGTGGGAATATGAGGTAGACTATGAAAGTTAGCTTTGACAAAGGTGTCCAGAAGTACACAGTCAAGAATGATTTCACCATTTTTGCTCTTTGACAAAAGAGAGTTATCATTAGCGTCATCACACAGGTGATGTAAAGGAATCTACTGAAAGTGAAATACATTGCATTTGCAATCATGGGCCAACTGTAGCCATCTACGTTTGCTAACACAGGGAGTCCAACAACCACGTTGAAGGTGATAAAGAAATAAGCATAGCCTGCATAATGGATCTTTTCACTTGTGTGAATAAAGTGTCAAATTTTCATCTGCTTCTTCACCTCATCAGTAGCTTTCCGATATTCATGAATTTTGAGGTAAAAAGCTCCCATAGCGATTCCTCATGCAACAGAAGGGAACTTCGTGTATGGCTTATTAAAAAGATAAGCAAAAAGATAATAATCTTCAAAAGTCAGAACTCCAACTCTGAGTCTATGCTTCATTGTGATGAAGAAAATAATGAAAAAGCCTAAGAATAAAGTTCAAATGGCCATAATCCAAAATATTTTTCTGTTCCGTTTATAGACTATGACCCAAAGAGGTAAGAAAATATGCAAAATTATGTCATTAGGGATAACATAAGGCCAATAGAATCACCCTTCTAATGCTTTCGTAAAGAATGGATATAAGTTATTCACGAAAGTAAGGACGAATGGCCAATCATTATTTCAGTTCTGAAAGAATCTTTCGGTGACAAACCATCCAGGCGTATCAGAAAGCAATGGGTATACCTGCCAGCCGAAGAAAAAGATCAAATAGTACATTGGAACAATCTTCATGACTCTGCTAAGGTATATGAATAAATAGTCCTTCTTTGATATACCATGGTTTTTATCATAAAACCTTGAGATTGTCACAAATGAAAGAAAATAAATAAAGAACATGAACAGATCAGGGGTCATCAAGCTTGCTTCAAGAAATGCAAAAGCGTATTCCGTTAAGTACACGAAGAAGACTTGGATATCCCTGCTATTGACAGTCAGAATGTATACAGCAGAGAGTCCTAGCAAGGCCCAGATCATTGTGATAACCCTCATTCCATCGACGAAGGATAATTCTGAATCCTCCCTATAGGTGTTACTTGGTTGTGATAGTGCGTCAACATTGTTCTGAACAGAGAAGGAATTAATAATATCATATCAGATATAATTTCGTGAAGATTCTTCCTTTACATAATGATCGATGGATTGACCTCCATGCTCACCTTCTTTGGAAAGATCCTCTCAAGGTAAATTCGTTGAGAAAGAATGCTTGCCAAATTGACAGGATGATGTCATTGATGCTTTGTTATCGTCAAACACTGTATCTTCATCAGCTATTGAACTTGAGAAATTAAGAGAAGTAAAATGAGGAGTGAACGACTCCTCATCAGTCTCAACTTCATGTGTAAGTGGTTGAGTGCTCCTATAATTTTTCTGATCCTTTGATTTTGTAGTTATACTTTTTGAGGTTTCTATTGTTCTACCTTTCCAATAATTTTTAATAGTGCTCATTAAGATGGTGAGAAGTATGAAGATGAGAAATATTGAGCCGACAATAGTAGAGCCAATAGCCTTCTCTCTGACTTGTGTCTCTCTCCAAGTATCTGGCTGTATAAATGATATTGAGAAACTTAAGTTATATTTTGTAATAGGCTCTATTTTCCATAATTCACCTGTTTTGTACATAGCTTTTGATAAATAGTCAGAGATAGGATATTGAGCCTCATTTAGCATCCATTGTTTTCACTCCTTTGGGAATCAAAGCCCAACCCTCGAATCAGCAGGGAGGTAAGAAATGTTCATGCTAATATAGCTATAAGTCGCATATTCTGACAGCGTTTTTCATCCGACATAATCTCCTGCATCTCCAAAATCCTTAAAACTATAGATCATCATTTTGCCATGATAATCATGAAATATATTGCTAATATGATCTCTTGCAGCTTCCAAGCATGGGAGATACTTAGTGTCCTTATATTTCTTGTAAACATCCTGTCTCGTAGGAGCTTCATCCTCAAGATAATAAACCTTAAATACGGTCCTTGAAATTAGTGTCCAAGGAATAGTCTATAAATCTAAGAATACTCCTGAGTAGATCTCTTCCTTTGATCGCTCCAATTCCTGATTTAGTAGTCAAACTTTCCATATTTGTGCACAAAATTGTATTATGTGATATATAATTCAAAATATTAGGAAATTTAGGGGTTTTGGGGTTTTGGGGTTTTGGGGTTTTGGGG